TCAATCTATCTGTCTCTCTCACATTGATATTTCTCTCTCCCCCTCTCCCTTCCTCTCTCTCTAAAAATCTATAAAAGAAAAACTTAAAAAAAAAAGTTAGTGTAAACTCTGTTTCTTTACATCCTTTAATATGTTTCAACAGACCTCACCAAAATGCCGTCTCAAATGGAACACGCCATGGAAACCATGATGTTCACGTTTCATAAGTTTGCTGGGGATAAAGGCTACTTAACAAAGGAGGACCTAAGAGTACTCATGGAAAAGGAGTTCCCTGGATTTTTGGAAGTAAGTATTGAAAGGCTCAGAAAGAACCAGACATGAAGTTCTAGGCCCTGGTTCCTTTCCCTTCTTCTTTCCACCCCTTCCCTGTGGAGGTCCCTATTAGAAAGGTGTTTTCACTCACTTATTTATTGAACATTATTGAGTGTCTGCTGTTTGTAAGCTACTGTAGGGGAAACAAGGTAAAGAAGACACAGCCCCTGCCCTCGAGGAGCTTACAATGGGAAGTGAAATAAGACTGCACACAAATAACTATAATACGAGGTGTTTGCTAGGAAGTGTCATCTGCATCCACTGAGTTGCAGGAAAGCCTTTCACCAGGATCACCAGCAAGGCTACCCGGTTGCCCTCAGGTCCATAAACCTGGCATTGGAGATGCCACCTGGTCACATTCACTTTGAGCAACCTGAATCGCCCTTCTTAAATCCCTTCAGATAAAGGCTTTGAAAACTTTTTCCCAATTCTAAACTCAAGAAATGGTGCCACGCATCTGCTGAGAGCCAAGCATCGCTCCAGAAATCATTGCTTTTCATACTGAAAATGCTCGGAGAACACGGGAGCACAGCTGGAGTTTATATCTCACCTTCGTCAGACTGAGGGATCATGCAGACTGGAAGAGGACTCTGCCGTCAGCTCAGATACATCACTCAGGGCATTAGGCCATGAGGCACAGTTGTCCTGTTACATTGCGGGCTCTCAAGAGAGTTGTTGCATTTCACTGAAGGTGAAACATTGCTTGACAAAATATTAGATGAAAATGCCAGTCCTTTCCCTGCCACAACTGGAGTCACTTGAAAGGATCGTTACTGAGCGTGGTGTGGAATAATGCATTAGCCTCTACAAGGCGAAGGGAGATGATAGTAAAAGGCCTCTTGTCCTCTGCCTGGACAATAAATACCACATTAGCCAAGCCCCTGACTCCTGACCCAGTAGATGCAGGGTTTTGTAGCACACTGTGATTTACATGTCAATACCAGTTAAATAAACAGATATAAATGGCCTAACTAGTCTCTCAGAGCTGCAGTTACCACAGTGCTATCCCAGAATGGGTTAGGATGCACTGTTGCTCTGCTTTTGAACAGTCCTATGCTATACCCCAGGCCAGGAGTTAGTTAACACTGGGCCGGCGGCTTTAGATGGTTGGGCCTCAGTTCCCTCCTCTGTGAAAGGAGAGGGCTGGATGTAATTATCTCCAAGGTCAGTTTCACTTGCAGAGATTCTTCTAGGCAGCCATAAAATGCAAGGACAAAATATGTCTATTGTAAGCCCGCCCATCACGTGAACAAAGGCATTCTCAGTGCACTAAATACTCATTAGTCGTGTTGTTGCATAAGCTAGAAGTCGGGATAAATATCACATGAGATACAGACCCTTCCTCCCTAAAGGCTTTCTGGCATGAGACACATCAAGGGTGTAGGTAGCACCAAGTACTGAACATGCCGTGTAATTTATGCCAGGCATGAAGTCATAATGCCAGACACACCCACACTCGCTGCATTCACAGAGCATTTGGTTTCTAAAGTTGACTCCTCTGTCATCCAAACTGACTCCTTCTGACCACAGCCAGGAAGCTGGGGGTGGGGCCAGAATTGACTGAAACCCACCGAAAGTAGAGGTGGCTGCATGGAGCAGGTTTTAGTTGCTTGCTTAGGGTAGGAGTTGGCAGTCCTTGTGTAGGAAATGCTGCTGCTTTACCTTAGGGGTTTTTGAGTGCAATTTGCAAACATCCAGCCCAGTCGAGACACTGAGTGTCCATTGCCCTCTCAGGTATACAATCAGTGCAATTCGTAAACACTTTACTGGAACCTTTTACACTTCTCAAAGGCCTTATTTCCCTCTCTGTTTGACGGCATGGATCCTATAGAAGGGAACACAAGTTCTTATTTCTAACCATCATCACTCCAAAAAGGAGTGACCAAGCCAGTCACCATGGAAGCAAGGTGGAAGAAAAAGCAAAAAGGATCTTGCCTGCCCACCTCAGTTCCACACATTCATAGCAGACACTGAGAGTCACGGGGAGTTTATGACTCCGTCACACATATTCCTTTTGAAGGGATCCAGGGAAGAGTATAGGATGGCATAGATTTACCAACTCATTAAGAATGGAAGCCATGGTAGAGACCCTCTAAGTCCAACCTCCTCCATTCATAGTTGATACATGAAGGCTCGCTGAGAGTGACTTACTCAAGGTTACGTGGCTAATAGGATATGAAGCCACACAAGCCTGGCCCGCCCTCTGCTGAGAAATGAGGGCAATCTACCTATCTTCTCCAAACCTAGCACACCATATGACATCATTAGCACCTCCTTAAAATCCATAGAACAGTGAACTGAAACTTACTCCCTAAATAATTTTATGAGATCTTTTCCTAAGAGTTTCATATTTAAAGGACTTGGCTATCAGGAATAAAAGTTTAAGAGAATGTAAGTTTAAACTACAAAATGGGGGAGTTTCAGGTGGTTCTTAGGCAGAATCTCGTGATTTTAAAAATTGTGGGAATAATTGAACTGGAAGCAAAACAAGTCAGAAAGCCATGCTGGTTCTAATTGGCAAGAGCAGTGGATTGAGAATTAGGAGGCTTGGGTCTACCTTCTCTTGGCACAGAATAAGCCATTTCTATGGTCCCTATCATTACATGAAAAAAAAAATGCCATGAAAACCTCTTTCCTAGTTTAAAGTAAATTTAAACAATTTACTGAAATGCTCCCTCAAGACAGCAAAATCCATTTAGATGATCTCCAAAGATCACTTATAACCTAAAACAAGAATTCTGATCATTGAGAGATTATATACATGGTGGTCAGCAGTACAAATCAAAGAAGTTAGTCATTGCAAACACTGACTGGTCTTTCTTACCTTTGTTTTTGTTTCTGTTTTTGTTTTTCAGAATCAGAAAGACCCTCTGGCTGTAGACAAAATAATGAAGGACCTGGACCAGTGCCGAGACGGCAGAGTTGGCTTCCAGAGCTTCTTTTCGCTAATTGCTGGGCTCACCATCGCATGCAATGACTATTTCGTAGTACACATGAAGCAGAAGGGAAGGAAGTGAGCAGTTACTTTGCCCTGATAAGAGTTCTCCCAATGGGTCCCTTAAGGAATATGTGCCCCACAGCTTCCCCCTGTCTACGAATTTCATGAGCAGATTGGGACCCTTAAAAAAATGTACAAATAAAATCCCACCCCATTGACCAAGAGAAAGAAAAGCCAATAAAGCCAGATAAGCTTTTGATTTTTATATTGCTTGTATCCTATTGCCCCCCAATAAACAAGTTTTTTTTAGTTCCTAATTTGAGGCAGAATGTTTACTTCTTCAGAAATGCTTGTTCCCTACTTCATTTCAAAGAAAACAAAACAAGCCCGGCTGGTGTGGCTCAGTGGTTGAGCATTGACCCATGAACCAGGAGGTCACAGTTCTCAATTCCCGGTTAGGGCACATGCCCGGGTTGTGGGCTCAATCTCCAGTAGGGGGATTGCAGGTGGCAGCTGATCGATGATTCTCTCTCTTCTCTCCCTTCCTCTCTCTCTGAAATCAATAAAAACATATTTAAAAAAAAAAAACAAAAAACACCAGAATGCCCTTGGGCAGCCAGCACACAGCAAAGCTCTTGCCACAGCACCACCAAAGTGGGAAAACACTATCCACCTGGCTTGGAGTCTAACTACTCTCAGTGATCTGCCTTTGTAGCTATGTCTAGACGAAGGACCAAAACTCCAAGGATGAAGAGAAGGCACTTCAGGAATATATTCTAATTTTACAGTTACTGAGCACAGCCTTGCCCTGGTACATCCGTGCCTTTCCAACCAGCACTTTGGATGCCTGACATGTCTGAGACCATTTTTCAGAGCAAAGTGTCAGTAAACTCTAGGGTAAAAGTAAGTCCATAAGGCAACTAAAGAAATAAAGCATCTAGTGTGATGCCTTAATAACATTACATTGACATTTGTTGAGTTGTCATGAAATGTCAGGAAATAGACTAGCATGACTTAGATCATGGGGTAGTGCTTTTTTTGTTGAAGTGCCAGGACTGATGTCTTGATAAAGAGCAAACTTTCTCCCCGCCCGTTCTGTGCCTGTCTACAAGCTTCAGCATATCTGCATTATGTGCTAGGTGCTTATTAATATTACAATACTCTTTTTATAGAGAGAGGATGTATGAATTGGTACATGAAATTGTTCCAATAAAATAGGTCAATGAAGATGGAAACATTTATTTTTATGATTGGACACATCAACATAATTCTTGGGAAAAGTCCAGCATAAGGTCATCTACCATCACATGGGAAAGCATGCAAAAGGGAACAGGATAGCCCAAAACTAGCTTTGGGGAAAATACATCCAATAAAATTAAGGTTAAAGATAAAATTCCAACCATTTAATTTTGTCCATCAAATGAACAAAACAACTCAGCTTTGCAGTCTATGGGATTCTATTAACGAGTTTATAATGGAGAGGAATTTATTACAAGATATTAAGTGGAAGAGGGAAGTTGGCTAGCTAAAGACACTAAGTCCAGAATCGACTCCCAAATCCATGCCATAGAACTGAGCTGTTGAGGGAGCTGCTGGCTCAGGAAGCTGCCTGCTGAACTAGGAAACCATTGCCACAGCTGGCAACTTCAGAACCATACGACCCATAGCCACACTAGCAAATACCAATACCCATGTTCCTGCACCTTTCTACACTGGATTTGGCTCCCACATCCAAGTCTCAAGAAAGTGCATCAAGCCCGGCCCGCATGGTGTGGCTCACCGGTTGAGCACTGACCTATAAACCAGGAATCACGGTTCGATTCCCACTCAGGCCACATGCCCAGGTTTCGGGCTTAATCCCCAGTGTGGGGCATGCAGGAGGCAGCCAATCAGTGATTCTCATCATTGATGTTTCTATCTCTCTCTCCCTCTCTCTGAAATCAATAAAAATGTATACTAAAAAATAAAGAAAGTGCATCAAATTAGCAGAATCTCAGTTACATCAAAACCCTAACTGCATAGGAGTCTGGGAAATGAAGTTGTAAATTTTCCAACCCCTGCAACACTAGGAGCTGGATACTGATCCACCATATCCATAGTGATGATTGCTAGTTCTAAGGGAAGTCTTCCAACCTGTAGGTTAAAGAAACTATGATCTCTAAGGACAGGAGGCTCTAAAAGACAATCTCTGACAGCTACAGGGAACAGGAATGCAAACTGGCCCATTGCAACAGGCAAACCATCTCTCTGTTCATGAGCACGTGTACCAGTCAGATTTACCCCTTCCGTTTACACCATCTGCCTCCTGGGGCAACTGTGTTCACTGGATATTATAAAAGTGGTGTTCAGTTCACAAATAAGCAGGTGAAATTGTAACACCAAGATATTATGGGTTCAGATGTCCCCAAATCCATAGCAAGCTTTCATACTCCAAGCCTCTTTACCTGACAACAAAAGAACCATCCCAGAGAGAGGGCCCTGGAGGGAGGGGAGGGGAAGTGTCAATTCATTTTCACAATCAGTGTGCAGATTTGAAAAAATTCTAAAGCTATGTGTTATATCCAGAAGATGACCCCAGTCACTGGCATTTAGAAAGATGTCCGATGCCAGGGAATCAGGGGGGGGGGGGGGGGGGGGGGAGGGGGAAAAGGCACTGGGAGAGAAAGGAGAATAACACACTTTCTTCACTTTAGCCTCTTCTCAAAACATTCAGTAGGGAGCTAGTACAAGAAAAATAAAAATGGTATTTATGACTTGAAATCCTACATGGCTCTCCATGCCAACGCAATGCAGAGATCCCACAGTCTGACCTGCTGAAATAGCCGTCTAGCTTTCAGGGGTTGCAGACTAATAGCTCCCAGAGGGCAAAGCTGTAATTATGCCAACAGCCATCAAGAGGAACCATCTGGAAAATTCCACTCATTCTGCTACATGGCTGAGTTGTGGCAGCAGATCCCGCCCCTCTCCACACCCAGTTATGAAGGAAAAATGAATAGTAGTGCAGAAAGTCAGTTTCCAGCATGCTGCAGAGCTGACCCTGAAAAATACATTTCTTTCTTGGATCCATTCCCTTGTCCAAATCCCTTGATCATGAGCCAACTGCCTGTGATTTGATACTTTTCTACCCAACTCATCTCAGTGGGAGAACAAAGGTAAGTATATACACCTCTCTCTCATGATTTGACCAATTTGAAAGTGGTTGTTCCAGTAACTTCTCCAGTTCTTAACCCCAGAGGGGTAGTTGTGAATAGAAATTCATTTATGAGGGCTACTATGTGAATGACACCAAGCACAGTTTTGTGGGGGATATAAAAATACAGATGCCATCCAGCCGACGTGGCTCAGTGGTTGAGCGTTAACCTATGAACCAGAAGGTCACAGTTGGATTCCCAGTCGGTCAGGGCATATGCCTGGGTGTGGACTCGATCCCAATGTGGGGTGGGCAGGAGGCAGCCAATCAATGACTCTCTCTCATCTTTGATGTTTCTGTCTCTCTCTCTCCCTCTCCCTTCCTCTCTGAAATCAATTTTTAAAAAAGTAACAGGACTCAATGACTAATTAAAAATGGATGGAAAATATAAGTATTAGACGCACTTCAAAATCTGTGCAAGCTTGACTCCTAGGGCTGGGTTGGCAGACTTCCAAAAGACACTTGACTGCAATGAGTCATTATATACAAGGATTTGCCTAAGCCAAATCCTGCCTCTCATCTATTAGCCCACAGACCTTGCATATTCCCTCTGGGATCTTTTGGCAACACTACGGGTCAGGCATGTGACCTTGGCCATGCCTGTGGCCTCCACTTACACTTCATGGACCAGGTTTTTGCTTCATTCCCTACTCCACTAGCCTCCAGCTCTCAGTCTGGTCGAGGTTTGCTTTCTCAGCATTAACAGCTCATCACAGTGAGACAGGAAGAGGGAGAAATCAAAGAAGCTGGTTGAGTGGACAGAGATTTCGAGGTCCACTAACAAGAACACAAAAATTGGAGGAGAGGTTTGTGGAACACCATGATGAGGACACTTGGGAGATAGTTGGTACAGCAGATAATGTCCAGGTCTGGAGTCAAGCAGACCTGTGCTCAACTGTTATTGCCAACTTTATGAAGTATTAATAGGAATAGATAACATCTATTGCTCATTTTTCTATTGGCCAGGCATTCTGCTGAGCTCTTAAAGTGTTTTATCTCATTTAATTCTCACAACCACTCTTTGAGTTGAGTACTGTATTCTTATTGTCCCCATATTACAAATGAAGAAACGGAGCTGTCGAGAGGTTAAGTAATTTGTCCAAAGTCACATTGCTTTTGAAGTGATAGAGCTGTGAGTCATATCCAGGTCTGACTCAAAAGTCTATGCCTTTAGTCAAATAACTAAATTGAGTAGACAGGAAAGAAGTCACAGAATCAGATTATCCTAATCAGAGACCAACAGTCTGCACCCGTTGTTTAAGAGCACAGACTCAGAAACCAAACTTTCTGGGTTCAAGTTCTGGCTTTGCTATTTACGTGCTGTGTGACCTTGAGCAAGTTACTCAGACTCTCAGTGACTGTTTTCTCCTATGTAAAATGGAGACAATAATAGAACCACCTCATAAGTTTGCTCTAGGATTGTTATTATATCTAGAATAATGCTTATACAGAGTTAGCACCAAGTAAATGTTGACTATTAATAGTCCTACAACTTTTTATCAATTTAAGTTTAGGAAGTGGACAGGAAAAAGACAAAATCCCAGTAGGTTATATGCCAGGGGATATTACAAAGCCTCACAATTCATCTGCCAACCAGCAGGTCCCTCCATACCTCCAAACTACATGAAGCAATGCTTTGTTGAAAGAGCAAGAGCTTTGGAGTCAGAAAGACTTGAGTTTAATTCTTCACTCCTATTCTGTGGCCTTAGACAAGGTACTTAACCTCTTTGAGCCTCAGTTTTCTCATTTGTAACACAGACCCAATTAGCCATGTGGCAGGGCTGCTGGGAGGAATAAGGAGATAATTATACAAAATATGCATGTTGGTGCTTCTCACCCACACACAGAGACAGAAGCGAGTTTGTTTATTCTAGCAAAGTCTTGCTCCGGAAGAGAAGTCAGACCTTTGGTACTGAGTTAGTCAAACATTAATGAAGGGCAGCCTCTTTTACTACATCTCTAGCAAATGGTACCACATGTTTCTTCCAATAAATCTTTTCCCAATCTGGCTTATGAAGTCATAAACAGGGACACAACTAAATTTCAGTCACTTTTAGGCCACTTTCTATGGGGAACTTAAGCTTTTAAAATATTGCAGGGAAATGAGCATTAGAACTGGGGTTCAGA